TGAGTTGCAAATTGCAAATGGATGTTGACCCTGGAAGGGACTCTTGAAAGTCACCACTCTCATGACTTTCTAGCCCTGAGAGAGTGGATAGGCTCCATGCAGCACAGGCTGGGAGAGTGCCATGACTGTGGGCACTTGATGTGCAAGGGTGCCTGCCTCCAGACATGCCTTTGCCCTTCCCACATTACGCCTCTGGGAGTGGGAGTGGTGGCCAGTTTCCGTATTCGTATTCAAGTCCAGGTGTATGTCTGGGCCCAGCAGCCTGTAGCATGAGCACCCAACACCTAGGAGATGCATCCTGGCTTGGAAAGCGGGACTTGGCTGGTTAGTGGATGAGTCCAGGTCATTGCTCAGCTCAGTGAAGTGTGTCCCTTCAGTCTAGCCCCAGGTCTACTTCAGCTACGCAGGGCTTGGTTGCATGAGGGCTGGGAGGTAGAAGAATATCGGGGTGGGGATGGGGATTTGAAGGAAGACCTTCCTACTGATTGCTTCTACAGTAGGACTGTGGACTTTTCCTCCTTAAAAGACAAGTACCTTTGGGTGGGCATGGAGGCTCATGCCTGTAGTCCCTGCACTTTGGGAGGCCAAGGTGGGTGGGTCACTTAAGCTCACAAGTTGGAGACCAGCCTGGGCAACATGGTGAGATCCCATGTCTACAAAAATTAGCCAGGTGTGATGGCATTTATCTATAGTCCCAGCTACTTGGAAGGCTGAGGTGGGAGAATTGCTCATACCTCGGAGGCAGAGGGTGCAGTGAGCCAAGATCACACCACTGCACCCCAGCCTGGGTGACAGAGTGAAACTCCATCTCCAAAAAAAAAGACAAAATACTTTTAAGAGTCCTGCTTCAGTAAGAAAGGAGGGGAGGCTGGGTGTAGGGGGAGTCAGGGGAAGAAAAAAACCTCCATCAACTACACACCCTGAGGAAGTTAGGGATGTGTTCAAATCCAGCACACAGGAAAGGGTGAGGCTTTGAAACCAAATGGAACAAATACCGAATTAGGTATTTACTCACCGTATAACAAAGCTGTTGCACAATTGTTTTGTTGAGTGAAGAATCAAAATTCAGCTTGGCAGTGCCCTGTGCTGTGGGCCCCTGGCCCATGCCCCTACCTCCAGCAGGTCTGTAACCCAGCAGCTACGCTGGGTTTTTCTGGTCCCTGTTCCAGTAGCACTGAGGGTACGTGTCCATTGGCCCATCACACTCTGTTACCCCTGGCTTGTCTCCTGTCTCATTAGACTGGGTTCTCAAGGACTCGATTGGGTCCACACTGAAGATTGGAAGGAAGAGTGGGAAATCAGAGAGGCAAGCAGGTGTGTGCATTTTTCTCTTAGCTTTCTCTTGTGAGTGCTAATCTTGTTGTACACCTGTACATTCCAAACCTTTTTCTGAAGGTTTAACTGCCACCTCAAAATCCATTTTGAAGCTCATCCCTCTTGCTTCTTGTCTGGTGTTTCCTGTTTCCTTGGATCTGAGTATCCCTCTCCCTGTCCTCCCCAGTCCATGTCATCCACTGCTCGGCTCTCCCATGGCCTCTTTCCCTCTTCTGCAACCCTCATTGCTTCTTGCCTGCCTCTTACCAAAACCTGTATCGCTGATTTTTCTTCATTTGGTCTCTAGTCCTCCTAAACATTTATTGAAGTTGCTTAACCTAAAGAATGTCCATGTGACTGCCGTGTTGCAGATTCTGTGTTGGAGGAGGTGGGGCCAGATCTTTGACCTATACCAATCTCTTCTGGCATCAGTTTCTTCCATCCTGTTGGATTCTTCACTTTCAATTCATTATTCTTCTACAGAAAATGTGGGGACATTTGAAACTGATTCTTGGATTGGTATTCAGGGCCTTCTGTGAACTTGCTCATTCATTTGCCTTTTCCAGTCATGTCCATGGCTCCCTTTCATGCATGCTGTACGTTCCAGCCAGACTGGTACATACCCCGTCATTCCCTTCCTCTTCCTCTGTTGTCACGTGGCTTCCTGCAGGAATGCCTTATCCCTTCACTTCTCCCATGCCCTTGTCCAAATTTTGTCCTTGTGATTTAGCTCAAATGCCATCTCCACGAAGTCTTCCCTGCTCTTATCTGGTAAGCATTTGAGTGGCTTTCGTGCCTGCAGTCCACCACTGGAGGAAACACTTTGTTTTTTGAGATAGAGTTGTGCTCTGTTGCCCACGCTGGAGTATAGTGGTGTGATCTCAGCTCACTACCACCCTCACCTCCCGGGTTCAAGTGATTCTCGTACCTCAGCCTTCCTAGTAGCTGGATGACAGGTACACACCACCATGCTCAGCTAATTTTTTGTATTTTTAGTAGAGATATGGGTTTTACCATGTTGACCAGGCTGCTATCAAACTCCTGACCTCAGGTGATCCACCAGCCTCGGCCTCCCAAAGCTCTGGGATTACAGGCGTGAGCCACTGCACCTGGCCCCCTTAGTTTAATTGCTTAAGCTATATGTATCATTTTGCTTCTCTGCATCCTATGTCCTCTCCTTGAGGTAAGTTGGGTCTATATCCAATTCCTCATGGCCATCTTTCTGCCTAGTGCAGTGTGCAGCCCAGGATGGGCTCTGAGGAGATCCTGGCTGCATAATAACACCTGTTTCCTGCCTTGCCCTCCCTATGCTAAGCCCTTTCCATGCTTTGTTTCACTTAAACCTCACAGCAGCCCTTTGACCTAGATGTTATTAATTGTATCTTCCTGAGGAGGAAACTGAGGCTCAGAGATTAAGCAACTTGCCCAGGGTCACACAGCTGGTAGGTGGTAGAACTGGGTTTTATGCCCAGACTTTTTGCCTTTTTTTTTTAAGGAGGGGAGGGAGGGAGGGAGTGAGGGTGGGTACTTTTTTGCCTTTAATCACTGCCATATGACCTGAATGAGTGGGATGAATAGGACTGTCAAAATAGGATGTGTAAAAGCCAGTGGAGGATGTAAATTTCTGAGGATGCCACAAATGCAGAAAAAACTCTTCTCATTTTTTAAGTCACTGTGTTCAGTGGGTTTCAGCCATGCCCTTTACCAAGAACAGCCCCCAGCTTAGAGCATCATTAAAAGGGGTGGGGAGGGAAAGGCAGCAGGAGAGTAACTGGTCTTCTCAACTCCATCACAGCAATGACTGGCATTTCAAGGTCTCACATCATAGTATACCAGGCCCTGGAATGTTGGAGATAAGACAGCCAAATTACCTTTTTGTCTCTTCATTCCTTCTTTAATCTCCCAGATCCTTAAGAAGTAATGACTGTTGCTGGGTGCGGTGGCTCAAGCCTGTAATCCCAGCACTTTGGGAGGCCGAGGCAGGTGGATCATGAGGTCAAGAGATCGAGACCATCCTGGTCAACATGGTGAAACTCCGTCTCTCTAAAAATACAAAAAATTAGCTGGGCATGGTGGCGCGTGCCTGTAATCCCAGCTACTCAGGAGGCTGAGGCAGAAGAATTGCCTGAACCCAGGAGGCAGAGGTTGCAGTGAGCCGAGATCGCACCATTGCACTCCAGCCTGGGTAACAAGAGCGAAAGTCCGTCTCAAAAAAAAAAGTAATGACTGTCATGTACTGTCCCAAGTCCTCTGGGACCACAGAAATGAATCAATCCTATTCAAGAGCCTTTGCTGCAGTAGAAGGAGTGAAACCCATAAATAAATAATCCTAACATTCAGAAAAAGAGTTAATGTGATTCGGAGAGACAGGTTTTTACTGTTGGAATGGTGAAGAGGGAGAAACCCTTATACTCCAGACTACAGAAGAGTTTCCAAGCCTTGGCTTTCTTAGTTAACACCCTTGACTTCTGACTCGGTTTGTTGGGACTTGTTTCTAAGCCTGGATGTTTGGACACCCTGCTGCCCTGCCAGGAGTTTGCTGAGGACCTTGGTTTTAAGCCTGCAAAGGGTGTGATTAGAGGCTTTGTGGCCTGTCTTTAAAAGAGTGAGGAAAGCTGGGCGGTGTCTCCCTGTGTTGAACTGTCTGGATGGCTCCAGTGCTGGACTGGTAAAGTGAATAAATGGGCAGATACTACGGGATCCTTTGTACCTTGCACTTATGTAACATAGTTATTTAGTTCTGGATACAACCCTATTTTGCAGCTAAGGAAATAGACATTTGAAACAGCTGTAATTTGCCCAAGAATGCGTGGCTAAAAGCTCTTAATTGTAGTCTGATGCTAAGTGTGGAAAATCATTTGGGAGGCATGAATGGAGCCACTTTGTTGGGGAGAAGAAAGGCCTGTTCTGAGTTTAAGGGAAATATTTCCCTGTTCTTGCTGTGGGCTTGCACTGTGGACAGATACCAACGAACTGCAGAGAGAACTTTTTATTGAAGAGAGGCCGGTGCGGTGGAAGCCATTTGGTCAGAACCTGCCCAACAGACAGTTGATCAGGCCTGGCTGGTAGAAAGAACGGAATGTTAACAAAGTGGTATGCAGAGTTAGGGGGGGCGGAAGGTGGGAGAATCCATGTGTCTGTTTTGCCTGCTTTCAAGTCATGAGTTGGTGGTGAATGGGGCAGGCCTTAAAAAAAGTCAGAGATTATGATTCAAAATCAGACAATAATTAAGAAAATAGATTTGGAGAATACTACCCCCAGAAGAGCCCTCAGAGAGAATATAAGGTTTTATTTACTTGTTTAACAGATAGCAAACTGAAGCCTGGTGGGGAGAGCAACAAGCCAAAGATGACTGAACCACAGAACCCAGACAGCTTGCTGCTCTGAATTGAGCCTGTAAGATGGGTTTAAAGGAGGAATAGAAGGTAAATGGAGCAGGTTCATAAGAGAGCAAGCATCATGTTGGGAGTGTTAGCTAGGCCAAGTCAAGATTTGTAGGATGCAGAGCCCGGGTGTGTTTGGAGATGCAAAGGAGTCCATGGTGAGGGAGGTACTGATCTGCCAAAGCAGGAGGGAAGGGTAACTAGGATGGGGATCGTTTTCCCATCTCTGAGTGGAGTCCAAAGTCCAGACAGCAAGCTGTAAGTCCTATGAGCTGACCGTGTGCTCTTCCATTTCACCTGTAGGTGATTGCAGTGGTAATGGATGTGTTCACAGACATCGACATCTTCAGAGACCTGCAAGAAATATGCAGGAAAAAGGGAGTTGCTGTGTATATCCTTCTGGACCAGGCTCTCCTCTCTCAATTTCTGGATATGTGCATGGATCTGAAAGTTCATCCTGAACAGGAAAAGGTTTGTGGCACACTAGTTTCAGTTTCACCACAGTCAACGAATATGACCAAGCATCCCATGATCTACAAGGTGGTTGGTGGTGGTAGCCCTGTTTACAAGGAAGGGACTGAGGAAGTGAGCAAAGTCATTTGCCCAGTCTTACAGAAATGAACAGTACCTGTTACCTGGCAGTTCCACTCCTAGGTGTCTACCCAAGAGAAATGAAAATATAGGCCCACACAAAAATTTGTGTATGAGTGTTTATAGAAGCACTATTCATAAAGCCAAAAAGTGGGAACAGTCCAATGCCCATCAACTGATATGTGGATAAATGATAATGTTGTCTATTCATACAGTAGCATACTATTAAACCATAAGAAGCTATGAAGTGCTGATACGTGCCACAGCATGGATGAACCTGCAAACATGCTAAGTGAAGGAAGCCAGTCACAAAAGACCACAGATGATATGATTCCATTAAGTCAAAATAGGGAAATCTATACAGACATAGATGAGTGGTTGCCTAGGGCTGGCAAGTTGGAGGGAAGAATGGGGTTATTGCTAAAGGGTACTTTATTTTAGCATTTTCTTTTTAAACTGATGAGAATGTCCCAAAACTGACTAATGGTCGAGCAATTTGGTTTACAAAGTTCAAATTCTTTCACAGAGTTCTTGCTGGTTGTCTCACGATGGAGACAGGATTGGGGTTTAGAGACCAACTGAGATGAGACAGCCATGTAACATAACAAGTGGTTAGAAAGTAAGGCGGACCCAAGGAAGATACCCTTTAGCATGGAAAAGAACATTGTCAGCTAGCCAGGTGAAGACATTTAAGGTGTCAGTGTTTAATTTCAAGGCATTCTTTCTATCATTAAGGCTGTGTGTTAGCAGCAAAGAAATTACAGGATTGTTCTGGCCACAACTTTGATCAAGTGAATGTCTCTGATTCATCTACTAGGCAAAAATCTATCAGCAGGCACTGGTTCAGTCGCCTACTGTTCGTTGCTGCTTTCATAGGTGTCCAGGTCCGCTGCAAGAGCGGTTTAAGGAGGTCTATTTCTCTGGCCTCCCCAGGTTTTGTAGTCTTACTTCCTTCTTGGGGAAGCACTGTCTTGCCTGGTTGCTTCTGTTTCCTGTGCCTGTTTGTGCCAGTGAACTTGTGCCCTTGCTGTATGGGGGCTGATTTCCCCATGCCCTGCCTCTGTGGCTGGTTCAGAATGTTGGGTTGTGCTGTCTGTAGGAACTTGCTCACACATTGATGTATAGACACTCACAGGTGCTTTGGCCAAAATCACAGAGGCATGTACAATATTCAGATGCATGCCAAAGGGAAAGATACACAAAACCGTACCTAAATCTGCCCATAATGGTATTTTTTATGCTCATTATTATATGTTGATCCTTTAAGACTTGGCTCAGGCATCAACACCTCCTCTAGGAAGCTCTCTTCTCACCAAGTCCCAGTATACCTCTATGACATTCCCTAGTTGTTGTCTTTTTTAAAATTTTTATTTTGAAATAAGATTTATAAATGTTACAAAAATAATATAAGAAATTCTTCAATACAGAGAACACCACAAAGATATTCCTCAAGAAGACCAACCCCAAGGCACATAATCGTTAGATTCACCAAGATCGAAACGAAGGAGAAAATATTAAGGGCAGCCAGAGAGAAAGATCAAGTTACCCATAAAGGTAAGCCTATTAGGCTTACAGCAGCAGATCTCTCAACGGAAACCCTACAAGTTAGAAGAGAGTGGGGGCCAATATTCAATATACTTAATCAACAGAACTTTCAGCCCAGAATTTCATATCCTGCCAATTTAAGCTTTACATTTGAAGGAAAAATAAAATCTTTTAGGAACAAGCAAATACTCAGATTTTATTACCACCAGGCCTGCTTTACAAGAACTTCTAAAAGAAGCATTATACACAGAAAGGAACAACCAGTATGATCCTTTCTAAAAATACACCAAAAAGTCAAGAGCATTAACATAAAGAAGAATTTTTATCAACGAAAGGACAAAATAGCCAGTTAATATCAAATGGCAGCAACCCTAAATTTAAATCGACCAAATCTCTCAATCAAAAGATACAAACAAAATCTAACGGTATATCCAAAGATATAAATAGACTCAAAATAGAGGGTTGGAAAAAAAAAAAGTACCAACCAAATGGAGAGCAAAAATAAATAAATAAAAAGCAGGAGTTGCAATTTTCACATTTGACAAAGTAGATTTCAAAGCTACAAGGATACAAGGGTAAAAGGATTAATGTAATAATAAGAGATCTTAACACCCAGATACATAAGACCCATAATGAGATTTAGATTCAACGAGACAGAAAATTGATAACGATATCCGGGACTGGAACTAAGATCCAGAACAAATGAACTCAATAGAGCTTTCCATTTTAAACACACAAAATATACATTATCCACAAAATCTAATGATATATCTAAAGATATACAAAGACTCAAAACAAGGGGATGGAAAAAAACTCACCAACCAAATGGAGAGCAAAAATAAATAAATAAAAAGCAGGAGTTGCAATTCTCACACTTAATAAAATAGATTTCAAAGCTACAAGGATGCAAGGGTAAAAGGATTAATGTAACAATAAGATCTTAACACCCAGATACATAAGACACATAATGAGATTTAGATTCAACGAGACAACAAATTGATAACGATATCCAGGACTTGAACTCAGAGCCAGAACAAATAAACACAATAGAGGTCTCCATTTTAAACACATAAAATATGCATTAACCACTTTAAACGCTCAAAATACTGATCGGCCATTATTGAAACCCATTTTAGGAATGAAGTAATATTCCTTTTTCCCTCTTTTTCTTTTTTCCCCTTCTTTCTCTCTTTTTCCCTCTTAAAAAAAAAAAAAAAAAAATTGAATACTCTTTTCCTAAGTTCTCCACATGTTAACATCTTACCTCAGTACAAATAACAAAATCAGGAAATAAACTTGATGTCAATACTATTTACAGACTTACACATTTCCTGGTCATTCCATTAATGCCCTTTTTCCAGGATCCAATCCAGTCCAGGATCACACCTTACATTTAGTTGTCAAGTCTCCTTCTTCATGTCATATAATCTGGAACTGTTTCTCCATCTTTATTTGTCTTTTAGGGTCTTAAACACCCGTCCCCCTTTTCTTCTTTTAAGAGATGAGGTATTGCTATGTTGCCTAGGCTGGTCTTGAACTCCTTGAACTGATCTTCTTGCATCAACTAGCCTCCAAAGCAGCTGGAACTACAGACATTTGCCACTGTGCCCGGCTGGGTCTAGACATTTTTTTTTAATTAGATGGAGTCTCGCTCTGTCGCCCGGCCCAATTTTAACACCTTTAAAGAATAGTAGCCTGCTGGGCGCAGTAGCTCACACCTGTAATCCCAGCACTTTGGAGGCTGAGGTGGGCAAATCACCTGATGTCAGGAGTTCGAGACCAGCCTGGCCAACGTGGTGAAACCCTGTCTCTACTAAAAATACAAAAATATTAATCAGGCGTTATGGCAGTTGCCTTAGTCCCAACTACGCAGGAGGTTGAGGCAGGAGAATCGCTTGAACCTGAGAGGTGGAGGTTGCAGTGAACCGAAATTGTGCCACTGCACTCCAGCCTGGGCAAGAGTGAGGCTCCACCTCAAAAAAAAAAAAAAAAAAAAATGCTAGCCAATTTTCTGTAGAATTTGCCTGATGTTTTCTCAAGGTTAAATTCAGATTGTGCATTTGATAAGACCACAGAAGCGGTATTATGTTTTGCCATAGTTTAGTTTTGTGTTTTATTTTTAACTTATTTTGAATATTGATAGATTAGTAGAAGTTGCAAAGATTGTACAGAGAAGTTTCATGTACCCTTCACCCAGTTTCCCTAAATGTTACATCTTATGTAACTTACCATACAATGTCAAAACCTGGAAATTGACATTGGTACAATGTGTATACAGTCTTGTGCCATCTTACCACACATACACACCCAGACAGCACTTTCCATCACCACAAAGATCTCTCTCCTTCCGCTCCTTTATATTCCTGTTACTCCCCTTTCTGTGCCTCCTTCCACCATCTTTAACCCCTAGCAACCACTAATTTGTTCTCTATTTCTATAATTTTGTCATTTATAGTCTATTATGTAATGGAATTATCCAGTATGTGACCTTTCAAGATTGGCTTTTTTTTCCTCCCAATCTCAGTGCTTTTGAAATTCATCCAAGTTGTGCATTTATCATTAGTTTGTTCCTTTTCATTGCTGAGTATTGTATGGTATCTTACACCATTCAGCCACTGAAGGACATTCGGATAGTTTCCAGTTTTTGTCTATTATGAATAAAGTTGCTGTGAACATGTGTAGAGGTTTTTGTGTGGGTATAGGTTTTCATTTCTCTGGATGCTGTTATGTGTTACTGTAGTTTCTAAATGATTCAATTAGTTTTCTCTCTTTTTCTAGTCCTTGAAGATAAGGAGCATGCCTTACATCTCTGTTGTCTCAGGGCTTGGCACAAAGTAGGGTCTCTCTATATTTCTGGAATCAATGAGTCAAACACAAATCTTAAACATATAATTTAAATGTGTTAAGGTTTCTAACAATATAGAGCCACTGGTGTGCTCCAGAGAATGCAGATTGTTATAGTGTTTTGCATGCCATTGTTTATACATTTACGTGTGTCATTTTACAGGAATAATTATGCATACATGTGCAGTATATTGCCCCAGCATACCACCAGCAGTGCACCTTTTTGGTAATTATATATTTGTAGGAGATGTGACATTGCTCATTAAGCCATGTGTGATATGAGTGTTTCTGCTTCAGCAGGTCTGTACTGGAGAAGGCCTATGCTATGTTCCTATTCTCCATACCTATTATGGTGTGGACAGTGAGTGAGGATGGGCTGTTACTCTGATGTGATGCCATTAACAAGTAGGAGAAAGGTCAGCTTAGCTTCTTTCAGACTTTGCTAAAATGTTCTTTATTACCAGTTTGTTTTCTTCGATGATTTGATCCCACACATTTTGCTTCAGAATCATTTCTTGGATTCTGTTGTTTAGTATCCCAAAAAGGTTGAGTATTCTTTTAGAGCACATATACACATGAACTGAGGGTCTCAAAAGTAAATATAAGAAAAGAGCAGATGAGAAGTTGGACCAAATGTAGAAGCAAAATCACTCAAGGCTTGAGAACTGTCTAGCTAGTGTACCACCTGTATTGTCACTAAATGGTAACCCTAAGCCACACATCTGCCAATAATTTTGTCTGGGAATTGTAAACTAAGCCTTTTTGTCCTAATCATTAGCTCACCAAACGAGTATTGCTGAATTGTTCATTTGTTTTTCTCCCACTCCCCGGCCAACAGCTTATGACTGTTCGGACTATCACAGGAAATATCTACTATGCAAGGTCAGGAACTAAAATTATTGGGAAGGTTCATGAAAAGTTCACATTGATTGATGGCATCCGTGTGGCAACAGGCGCCTATAGGTAAGTTTCTAACTCATACAAGGCTTACTAATCTAAATTCTTCAGAAGAAGAATGTCATGTAAAGGCAAAAGCCTTTTCCTCTCAATGAGAGCCTGTATGGCCACCCATTCTGATACGTGTGCATCTGTGTATATGAGCTGGTTATCAGAGTCTCCTGTAGTGGCAGTTTGGGTGGGGGTCACTTCCCTTGTCCTGTAGTCCATAAGATAAAGTACAGAAGTTGAACTTATCTTGAGACAACACAGTCAGCAAATCCTAGATTTCAAGCCTTGGCCCAGAATGCAGTGGACAAATTGTGGGGTAATAGCAGCGCTCAGTCTGGAATCCTGGTTCCATAGGGATCTGGACCCAGCTTGCCGTGCTCACTCACAGGTAGGAGCAGTTGCAGGCATCTCCATTAGTGTTGAAGGCAGAGGCAGAGCTGTCAGCTTTAGACTCAAATCCTCTACGTTGCTTCAAGGCTTATAATTTAGTGCTTTAGTCTTGAAAATACCGATTATGTTTTTGACCCACCTTTGAAGTCTCATGTTAGCAATGGCATCTTAAGGTAGAGGGCAGGGAGGTTGAAGAGAGGGTAGGGGTAATGAGTGGTTTACGTTAACCTCTAGAATTTGTGCCATTTTTACGTATGTGGCTCCAGTGGTTTATGTTTTGCCACCTCTGCAGTAGATTGTCTGATGGTTTGCATGAGGTGTGTCTGTAGAATTTTAAAAAGAAAACCTCATTTTTGAAGAGACACACAACCCTGAGTGATAATTATATGTTAGCTCTGGGTAAAGGTAGAAATGTGAAGGCTTGTGGAAGGTGTGGCAGTAAGATCAAGAAAATCTTGACACCTTTCTTTTTAAACAATACCCTCATTCTCAGAACAAAATTTGAACTTTCTTCACCAAAGAGGCTGTGGGGTGAAAAGAAAATTTGAACTCTTTTTCTTGTAATTTCCTTTTGTAAGTTTATTAAAAAAATAGGAAAAAAATTGATATTTTTAATGCAAGTAGGATTTCTCTATATTAACAAAACTTAGCTACAAATAGTTGTGGGCTGTTCTAAAATATAAAAACTACCCTCTCCAAATGAAATTGATGATAATAATAGCTTTCATTTGTTGACATTTTATAATCTTAGTGTTGGACAGGTGCATTATTTACATTATCTCATTGAAGGTTTTCATTTTTTGTGTGTGTGAGACGGAGTCTTGCTCTGTTGCTCAGGCTGGAGTGCAGAGGCACCATCTTAGCTCAATGCAACCTCCACCTCCCAGGTTCAAGCGATTCTTGTGCCCCAGCCTCCTGAGTAGTTAGGACTACAGGCATGCCACCACGACTGGCTAATTTTTCTATTTTAGTAGAGATGGTGTTTTGCCATGTTGACCAGGAAGGTCTCAAACTCCTGGCTTCAGGTGATCTGCTGGCCTTGGCCTCCCAAAGTGCTGGGGTTACAGATGTGAGCCACCATGCCCAGGGTCACTGAAGGCTTTCAAAAGCACCTTTCTTCTCAGGCGTTGAAAGCAGTTTCCAGGGGGACTTAGCAATAGCCAGATTCTTGGTTACAGGAGACAGAGTTGACTGTGTTTTATAATCTCTATTTGAAACCTAATTCTGGTGCAAATATCAGCATTAGTGGGGGTGATGGCAAGTGTCAGAAAGCTAACTCTCAAATGTACTGACTTGAAGAACTTGGAAGGAAGCATAGAAAAGTAAAGTTAGTTTCAGTTCGTCTTGACCTAGGAGCCACACACTGATCAGAACACAAGAATCTCCTGGTTCTGATTTTCTTGAGCTGATTTTTGTTCTTAGAGAGGCTCTTCTTTTGAAGTCAAAGATTTTGGCTTTCTTATGTGGCCTTTAGTAGCTGTCTCCCAAAGGGTGAAACTTGTTCACTCAAAATTGCTATCAATCCCTTCTGTCAGAATCTATATGACAAAGAAAAAAGAAATCTCTGAAAAATTACTTGGCTCTGGTGGGGTCACATGCCCACCCTGAATGAATCCCTACATCCAAGGGAATAGGATAGGCTGGCCAGTCTGGACCATATACCTGCCTCTATTGTGGTTGGAGAGAGTACAGTAATGAAAGCTTTCTGGTGTACAGATGGGTGTCAGTTCTGCTAGCAGAGGAGGGAGATGGGGAAGGATACTGGACAGGCAAGAGCACATGGCCACTAATCAGCTCTAATATGTTTTGAGCCATGGTGTTTTGTGAAAATGGCAGCACTGCCCCATGACTATGAGTCCTCCACTGTTAGTGAGGATGACTACATCAACAGCCACAAGGACAAGCTTGAGGGCAGGAAGGCCACTAATGTTGCCATTCAAACAGTAGCAAGGAGCAGGGCACTAGCAGTTCATAGGGCCTGGGGCCTGGCTGGGGTCTAGCAGTAGCTTCCCACTGTGATAATCCCTAGCTGGTGTCCTTACCTTTAAAATGGGGGTACTGGCCTAAATACTTAGAAGTCCTTTCTAGTTTTAATTTTTATTTTATTTATTTATTTTTTGAGACAGGGTCTCGCTCTGTGACCCAGGCTGGAGTGTGCAGTGGCACAATCTCAGCTCACTGCAAACTCTGCCTCCCAGGTTCAACCAATCCTCCCACCTCAGCCTCCCTAGTAGCTAGGATTACAGGCATGCACCACCACGCCTGGCTAATTTTGTGTGTGTTTTTAGTAGAGATGGGGTTTTACCTTATTGGCCAGGCTAGTCTTTAAGGGACCTGCCTGCCTCAGCCTCCCAAAGTGCTGGGATTATAGTTGTGAGCCACTGCGACCGGCCTCCTTTCTAGTTTTTAAAAACTCTGAGGCAAGGACCAGGTGAGGTGGCTCATGCCTGTAATCTTAGCCCTTTGGAAGGCTGAGGAGGGAGGATTGCTTGAGCCCAGGAGTTCAAGACCAGCCTGAGCAACATAGAAAATCCCGTCTCAAAAAAAAAAACCCTGAGGCTAAGCATTTAGTGTTTTTGTTAAACAGTTGGCCTTTTTACTTTTATGGTAACACACATAAATGCTATATATGTGTTTTATATGTATGTTAAGATTAGTCAAATGCATACAAATGGTAGGTATATCACCAAAGTCGTAACTCCTATGTGGTAAGATACCTGTGCTATGTTGTGTGGACAATGAGTAAACCAAAATTGCTCATCTTTACCAGCTGCTGTTTGTTTCTTTTTAATCCTTAAGCTTTACATGGACGGATGGCAAATTAAATAGCAGTAACTTGGTAATTCTGTCTGGCCAAGTGGTTGAACACTTTGATCTGGAGTTCCGAATCCTGTATGCCCAATCCAAGCCCATCAGCCCCAAACTCCTGTCTCACTTCCAGAGCAGCAACAAATTTGGTCACCTCACTGACCGAAAACCACAGTCTAAGGAGCTCACCCTGGGCAACCTGCTGCGGATGCGGCTGGCTAGGCTCTCAAGTACTCCCAGGAAGACGGACTTGGACCCAGAGATGCCTGCAGAGGGCAAGGCAGAGCCCAAGCCTCATGACTGTGAGTCCTCCACTGTTAGTGAGGAAGACTACTCCAACAGCCACAGGCATGAGCTCCAGAGCAGAAAGGCCACTGATGCTGCCACTCAAACAGAGCCAGGAGAGGGGATGCCAGGGCTGAGTGTGAGTGAGATGGGAACACAAACTAGCATCGCCACCGCCTGTGCTGGGACCCAGACTGCAGTCGCCACCAGGGTAGCATGCTCTCAAACCATGATCTGGTCCACATCGACCACCACTCAGACTGACATGGATGAGAACATTTTCTTTTCTCAAGGAACTCAATCTGCAGAAGGGTCACCAGCCTCAAAAATGTCTATATCAAGATCTTCCAGTTTGAAGTCTTCCTCCTCTGTGTCTTCCCAAGGCTCTGTGGTAAGCTCCACTGGCTCTCCCACTTCTGTCAGAGCCACTGACTTCCACAATCCTGTCTATCCCAAGTACCTGGGCACCCCCCACCTGGAACTGTATTTGAGTGACTCATTTAGAAACTTGAACAAAGAGCGGCAATTCCACTTTACTGGTATCAGGTCCCGGCTCAACCGCATGCTGGCTGTGCTCTCAAGGAGAACATTCTTTACTGAAAACCACCTTGGCTTTCATTCTGGCAATTTCAGCAGAGTTAATTTGCTTGCTATTAGAGATGTAGCACTTTATCCTTCCTATCAGTAACTGCTCCGTGTTCAGACTCCTGGTTTCCTCCAGTCTCGCAGTGGACATCATCAGCTTCCTGCTTTAAAAAATATCTCATGTCCCTAATTGCCTTTCTTTTACCTGACTTTGTTACCCTTGCTGTCTTTGAATTCTTTTTTTTTCCTACATAGCATTTGCTCCTGAAGCTGTCTTTGAATTCTATAGGCTGCATATTATTGTACATGCTTTGTTTTTGTCATGTATACACCAGTTATTGGTTTTATGGTTTAAACACTATGGATACAGGGTTGTTTTTTTTTTTTTTTGCAGAATTTTAATACATTCATGCACTACGTAATGATGTTTTGGTCAATGACAGACCATGTACATGATGGCAGTCCCATGAGGTTATAGTGCCATATTTTTACTATACCTTTTCTATGTTTAGATACAAATACCATTTATGTTACAGTTGCCTACAGTATTCAGTGCAATAACATGATGTACAGGTTTGTAGCCCAGGAGCAACACGCTATACCGTAGAGTCCAGGCATGTAGTAAGTTATACCATCTTGGATTCTGTAAGTACACTCTGTGCTGTTTGCACAAGGACAAAATCACCTAACAACACATTTCACAGAATGTATCCGCATCGTTGGGCAACACATGACTGTATTAATGCCTCATAAGGAGAATGCTTAGGTGTTCTAAGTCTAATTCAGGTGAGAGATGAAATATGTTTTGCATTTTTCTTAGGCTGTATGCTCTTCTGTTTTAAAGGTTTGACTCACCAGCGTTTTTGTGATCAAAAATCCTATTTAGAAAAACAAAACTACTTTCTCTTTATCTCTTTAGAATCTGTGTTCTTAGTATTAAATAAATATAAACTTGTGCTTTTTGTACTCCCCCCACCTCTGACACTCTTCTCTTTAAATCTGGGAATATGTCACAAATAAATGCACCTAATAGATATAGATATCTATATATCTGAAGGTTTTTAAAATATTGTCAGGGTGAGAAAGAAGTAGATGATCCAAAATATAGAAGGGAAAATATATCCACTTAACCTTTCTTGAATCATGAATATTGATGTTACTTTATAGTTTGAGTGAGGAAATTGGCCAGAAGTAGCAGGCCTCTGCACAAGCTCTGCCTTTCTTTCCTCAAAGAAGAAACCTGAGCTATTTCCATAGGTCCTTGGTACTCTGGTACTCTGCTTGTCTACCAGAAGAGGCCTTAGTATATGTTCCTGTATTCATTCCCAGTATTAACCCGGGCAGCCCCGTGGGCCTCATTTCATCAGATGGGTGTACTGACAGTGACTTAGCAATCTAATATCCTAGAGTAGGAGCAAAAGAGGACACTGACAGTTGTCCCAGTTTCCTGGTCCAGTGGCAGGCAATGTAACTGGTTTCTACACCCTACTAATTAGGATTGGTATGGCTATGGAATCCTGTTTTTGTCTCATTCTCATGGACAGACAGAAGGGAAGAGAGTTAAATGATGGCTTTCTCCCTCTCCTGAGTTGGCTACAACAAAAAAGATCTACAGTAGGGGAAGGCATCTGCCATATAAAATGCTGATGCACTTGGATCATGAGTGCTCCTACACTCACGTATGTGCCTGGACTCCCTTATGATGGCCAGGTTATTTGCTGGGTTGGTGCTGTAATCTGTGGCTGTAAAGCAAATGTAAGGATATTGATCCATGTCTGCTTAGAAACAACTCTGAGCTAAGCCTCAAGTAAACATATTATTTGAAATCATTTTACAGACTTCAGTCACTTCATATGTGCTATCTTTGCTCTTCACAGCAATGTAGCAGAGAGCTTTGTAGGTTAGGTGGCTGTTATTTCCAATTTTCAGATGAAACTGAGGCTCTGATTAAGTAACATATTCAAGATGACATGGCTTGTAAATGGTGGCACAGGAATTTAAACACAGGTTTCTAGATTCTAAGTACAGTACTGTGCTTTGCAACTATTTCTCTACATGGAGTATGGAGGCAGGAGAGAGTGTACCTTGAGAAATGGCAGTTCCTTCAATGGTGAATGGAAAACTAAAACAGCCTCATTAACAAACGTTAAGTACAAAGTCTTAACTGTGATAATTCTTTTTGTTGGTTTTTGAAACAGTCTCGTTCTGTTGCTCAGGTTGTAATGCAGTGGCATGATCACAGCTCACTATTTTTTTGTAAAAGTGGAGTCTCACTATGGTGCCTAGGCTGGTCTTAAACTCCTAGGCTCAAGTGATCCTCTTGCCTCAGCCTCTCAAAGTGCTGGGATTACAGGCATGAGCTGTTGCACTCAGCCTGTGATAATGGATTTTAATTTAGATTGAAATTTTAACTCAGTGTTCTATGGAACCATTAATAGGATTACATAACAAAGGTAGTGTGTTTAGTGTGAGAAACTGGGCCGAATAAATTTAAACAAGATTCTTTAATGCAGGACTACTCAGAGCTCTGAAGTAATGATCATAGGGAATTTCTCAGAGCAGGGCAGGTATATGGCCTACCACAAACTTACCCGATCACAGAGTGGTTTTTTGTTTTTTGTTTTTCTTTTTTTGTGGAGCAGCACTCAAAACCATTAGTCCCTGAAAGTGCAGTCACCAATTAGAAATAAGAGCAAGAGGCCAGGCACTGTGGCTCATGCCTGTAATCCCAGCATTTTGGGAGGCTGAGGTGGGCGGATCACGAGGTCAGGAGTTCAAGACCAGCCTGACCAACATGGTGAAACCCTGTCTCTACTAAAAATACAAAAATTAGCCAGGCATGGTGGCAGGTGCCTATAGTCCCAGCTACTCAGGAGCCTGAGGAAGGAGAATCACTTGAACCCAGAAGGTGGAGGTTGCTCTGAGCCAGAGAATGTGCCACTGCACTCCAGCCTGGGCCACAGAGTGAGACAAATAAGAGCAAGAGATTCATGGAGTCCTAAGAAAATGGCTTAGTCTCTCAGAGTAAGCAGAGATTTTCTGGGGTCGAGTTCAGAAAGGGCAGAGTTTTTTTTTTTTTTTTTTTTGAGACGGAGTTTCACTTGTTACCCAGGCTGGAGTGCAATGGCGCGATCTCGGCTCACTGCAACCTCTGCCTCCTGGGTTCAGGCAGTTCTCCTGCCTCAGCCTCCTGAGTAGCTGGGATTACAGGCACACGCCACCATGCCCAGCTAATTTTTTGTATTTTTAGTAGAGGCGGGGTTTCACCATGTTGACCGGGTTGGTCTCGATCTCTCGACCTCGTGATCCACCTGCCTCGGCCTCCCAAAGTGCTCGGATTACAGGCTTGAGCCACCACGCCTGGCCCAGGGCAGAGTTTTTCAAAGTGAGATCTGAGGACCACCTGCATCAGTCTTGGGGTGCTTAGGTGCTTGCCTTTAAAATGCTGATTACTGAATCTACTCCTGGGGGGGGAGGGGGTGGTGAGAGTAGCAGCCTATGTAGTTCAAAAATTTGTTACCCCTCCTTGGGAGAAAAATTATATTCCTCTATCTTTGCAGACTTTGCTATAAATATTCCAGCATAAATATGTAAATAAATATGTAAAAGATAACTATTTTAGAAAACGTAACCACATTACCGCTATCACACCTAAGCAACTTTGATAAAAACTCAGTATCAAATAAATATTCAATGTTTATATTCAGTTGTCTAATTTTCTTTTCCTCTGATGGTTTGTTTGAATTAGAGATTGATCCATGCAGGGTTGACATTCTTTTATAAAACTTGAAGGGATTAACTGAAGAGGTGGCTGGCCACCCCACCTCTGAAGGCAGTTGGGCTGGAGAGTATATGTCATTTATTTATGGGACTTAAAGTGACTAACAAGAAAAGCTAGGGTACAAGGTCATGTAAATGAAAAGTTACATGAAGGAAACCCAAGGGTGAGGGATACAACGTGGAGTCTAGAATGAGGCTTAAAGTGCACACCATGACATACACACCTACTTCATGTAGGCCACACATTTAGGCTTTCCAATAGTGAAGACAGAGAAACCTGGTCAGATACACCATTCGTAATGTCCTTAAGATGAAAGTAAATCCAGATACAGAACAATTATTCCCCATGGGCATGTGCCTGTAGTCCTAGGTATTTGGAGGGCTGAGGTGGGAGGATGACTTGAACTTGGAAGGATGAGACTGTAGTAAGCTGTGATTGTACCACTGTACTCCAGCCTGGGTGATAAAGTGACACCCCAACTCCAACAAAATTATTCTGGGTACTGAGATAAGAGTTTCTGGCTGGGTGTGGTGGCTCAACGCCTGTAATCCCAGATACTCGGAGGCTGAGGCAGGAGAATCACTTGAACCTGGGAGGCGGAGGTTTTGGGGAGTCGAGATCATACCATGACACTCCAGCCTGGGCAACAAGAGCAGGACTTCATCTCAAATTTATGAAAAGCGGGGAGGCGGGGGGAACAATTTCTTACAAGGATCTTTTTATAAAAATGGCATTCTGATAATAAACAATGACAGATACTCTGGGGCATACCCAGACCCTGAACTCTGCAAGGGAATAAATGAGGTGAATGTATTCGTGTGTATTCTGTGAGCATGAAATACATACCTTAATGTTGAATATGTTCAGATCAACATTGTTAGGCTAAGTTTAAACACACACCTAGATGTATGCCCCAGTTTGCCTGGCAGAGTTCCAGTTATGCCTCTTATCCCCAGGTCCCATCTGGTTAACACCTCCTTTTATTCTCAAAAGTGTCCCAGTTTGAACTATAAAGTATATGGTAATCCTATATAGAAAGCACCTTGCAGACCTAAGAAGCCTGTCCCCAATTCACCCAACTTCATTGAATTGTGTGTCCCTCAGGCCAAAGAGACAGAGGCTCCTCTGGTGTCAAATTCTTTCCAGTGGATCTTTCCACAACTCTATCCAAATCTTTGAAGCTGTGTAAGCACTTCTGCTTATGTGAATACCTGTGTGATCATTTGTGTGCATGCCAACAAACCAGACAGGTTTATGTATGTTACAACAAGTTGTGGAAGACCGTACCTTAGATTCTCGGGAAGATCCTGATATAATGCAATTTAGTGAAGCAGTTCTGCAAAGGACAGTCACTTTTCAGTTGTGGGGATGGCTGCCTAGTCTAGCTTGATGGTGGCAACCATAGGGCAGTTACAGGGTTTTTTTTTTTTTTTTTTTTTTTTTTGAGATGGAGTTTTGCTGTTGTTACCCAGACTGGAGTGCATTGGCACAATCTTGGCTCACCACAACCTCCGCCTTCTGGGTTCAAGCAATTCTCGTGCCTCAGCCTCCCAAGTAGCTGGGACTATAGGCGTGCGCCACCATGCCCCGCTAATTTTTGTATTTTTAGTAGAGACAGGGTTTCACCTTGTTGACCAGGATGGTCTCGATCTCTTGACCTCGTGATCCACCTGCCTCAGCCTCCCAAAGTGCTGGGATTATAGGCGTGAGCCACCGCGCCCAGCCGGCGTTTTTCTTAAGAATCTATCAGTTGTAGCAGGTGGATACATGGATGGTTATAATGGATATCTATTTTTGCTTCATTCATTCATTCATTCATCTGCTGGCAATCTCACCCTTAGATTTCTCTCTGACGAACTGTTCCGGTCTCAATTCCCCGTCCATGTGATTCTGGTTAAGCTGACCCTGAAGGTGGAACGTGGGACCTAGGCCTAAGTCAATGAGTACATTGTATTCCCTGGCTGAATGATTGATTTAGGGGTGGATGCATGACCTGTCGGGAATACTTTTGCTAGGAAATTCTGGAAAGAGGTTTAATGCTTAAGAGGATGTGGTGGCTAAAACTGGCAGGGCCACCTCGTTACAAACTACACCTGAGTCAGTAGAAGGTGGACCACTATGATCAGAAAGAATCCTGGTTATGTGATATTTATCCCGATGCAGCTGTGTCTCAAGTCAGAACTACTCTTGGTCTTTTAATTATATATATATACATATATGTTTTTTTTTTTTTTTTTGAGTTTTGTTCGTCACCCAGGCTGGAGTGGGATGGCGCTATCTCGGCTCACTGCAACCTCCACCTCAGCCTCCTGATTAGCTGGGATTACAGGTGTGCGCCACCATGCCTGGCTAATTTTTTTTGTATTATTAGTAGAGACAGGGTTTCACCATGTTGGCCAGGCTGGTCTTGAACTCCTGACCTTAGGTGATCACCTGCCTTGGCCTCCCAAAGTGCTGGGATTACAGATGTGAGCCACTGTGCCCAGCTGGACTTTTTAGTTTAAGCCATTTTTGCTTAAGAGAGGTTAGGTTGGGTTTTCTATCATTTATATCTGTAAAAGTCTTAACTGGTACAAAAATCAAAACTCTAAATTCTTTGCCTTCCTGAATATGGTCAATAGGTTTGGTCTGGAAGTATTTCAAAGCAAAAAATACCCTTTATCATAAGCACAGGAAAACTTCTATATTGTAACATGACTTTGAGGAACATTATCTTTTTGGAAAGCTTATCATTTGGAAATTGCAAAATACACCTTTATGTAACAAAATGATTACACTTTTATGGAATTGTTGGCAATGAACTAACTACATTCTGGATGCCATCTCAAGAAATTGTTTTAATTTTAGAGCAGTTATTTTAGCCCATTCTTTTTGAAAATAATTAGGAGGACAAAGAATTTGTTGAGACCATTCCTAGTTTGTGGATATAAAACCACAACATCAACATGTAGGTTATTACTTAGGTGTTTTCTCAAACAGAAGCCTGTGCAAGCAAAATAACCCCTTAGGGGAGAGTTGGAGTTTTAGAACTTTCTGAGGGAGATGAACTAATTTTCTTCTAGGAGAGCGTAGCTCTAATGATTTTAAATGGCCCATGTAGTTGAACAAACACTGGCCTGGGAATTAGAAAGCCCGAGTTCTAGTTTTAGCTCTAGTGTACTAAATTAGCTCATTGATTCTGACCAAGTCCTTTTAACTTCCATGTACCTCCATTTTCTACAAGACAAGAAATTCAGGCTAGATGTTAACTACGGTCTCCTCCAGCTTTAATATTATGATCCAATAATGCAGACATGGCCAATCTACTGTCTCTTCATCAACAGTAAGCTTTCATTATATGAGTAATAGATAAAATAGATAAATTGTTTTATTTTATTTATTTTTTATATTTTTTGAGATGGAGTCTCATTCTGTTGCCCAGGCTGGAGTGCAGCAGCGTGATCTCTGCTCACTGCAACGTCCGCCTTCCAGGTTCAAGTGATTCTTCTTCGTCAGCCTCCCAAGTAACAGGGATTACAGGTGCCTGCCACCACACCCAGCTAATGTTTTTGTATTTTTAGTAGAGACAGAGTTTTGCCATGTTGGCCAGGCTGGTCTCAAACTCTTACTTCACGTGATCTGCCTGCCTCAGCATCCCACAAGTTCCGGGGTTACAGGTGCGTGCCCGGCCATGAAATAATCTTAAAAGTGCCATTTATTTCATTTTGCCTTATATTCATGTATAAACCTTGGTTTCCATATTTGGGCTGTTAGTAAAAATAAGACAAAAATCAAACAAGGAAGGATCAATGTCATGAAAACTAAGCCTAAAGCATGATGTTTATCTATGCATTACTCAATAGGCACTTGTTATTGGTCTGCGAATGTGAATGTGACATGGTCTTTGTCCTCAACAGGTTCCTTGTGTTGTAATAGTGGTGGCAGGTAAACTACAGGTCGACTATAGAGATTTTCTCACAAAAATGAGAATACAGGTTCTTAAGCTCCAAGGGGAATGCTTAAGTTGGATAGATAATTTAGAGCTGTCCCTTTAAAGGATTAGGATAATTTGAAGGATGGATGGAGAATTCTAGGCAGAGGGATTAACAGGTATTGAATCCCTATATTTATTAATGTAAAAATAAATCAAAGGAGATTATTTGTTGAATGAAATCTATACAGGTAAATTCAGACTCTTACCCCTGGTGGATTTGCTCTGAGTTGAGGAAATGAGAGCTAACTTTGATTGAATGCCTGCTATGTTTTGTACTGTTACCTACTTTACATGTTATCTCATTTAATACCCCTTTAAACCTCATTTTACGATCAAAATTAAATGACAGCTAGGAGCTACAAAACGGGAAAATTAGGATTCCAAGGCTGGACTGGTTGTCCACAAAAGTCCTTGCTCTTGCATAATCATGCCATTTCTTTCAAAGAATAGATAATTTTCTTCACAGCTTTAAAAATGCCTAGATTCTGAAGCCTCTCACTTCCTTCCAATTAGTCGTCTATCTAGAAAGTTATTTCTTCCACTTGAGCTCATCACCTCTCCTTAGCGCTCCTTATTATTAGTGTAATTTTTTTTTCTTTGACCTCACCTTCCTCTGATGGATTAGTGTAATATTTCCCAGGTTTGTTAATCCTAAGAGTTCAGGAGCTTCTTAAAATGCAGGTTCCCAGGCCATGCCCCAGGACATCGATTCGGAATTGGATTGAGGTCTTGAATCTGTGTTTTTAACAAGCATTTGACTCAAGGACATCAAACTGGAGGAGGCATTGAGTTAGTGGACTACCTTAACTGATCTACCCACTTAGTCTCTTCTTCCAACCTATTCTCTCCACCCCACCCCCAGTCCCCGTTTTTCCGCATTGCCCTCAAGGTCCCTGAAGACTTCCATATCATTTCACATTGTTTTATTTGGGGGCACTGTGCCGCA